GTCGAGGCTGCGGTGGCCGGGAGCGGCCACTGCACTCTAGTCTGGGCGACAGAGTGAGACTCCAACTCAAAAAAAATAAAAAAATTAAAAATAGCCAGGCATGGTGGCATGTGCCTGTAGTTCCAGTTACTTGGAAGACTGAGGCAGAAAGATCACCTGAGCACAGCAGCTTGAGACTCCAACTAAAAAAAAAAAAAAGTTTATTTTTTTCTATTATTATGATTGTTTTGAGAAAAGTTGTCTAGTTGGTCTAAATGAAAATATGTAATTTGTAGTAGAGTAACCACAGCTGATTTTAGTTGTAATAAAATACTACTAGAGAATTTAACTGTTATTTACAGACCCATGTCTTTCAGCTTATTATAAGGAAAACTAGAAAGTATACTGCCTCTGGTCTAAAAACCCTAAAACAACAACAACAATAACAAACAAACCTCCTTTAGTTACACAAAAAAATATTTTAAGGGTTTCAAACACATTTATGATTAAATATTTTTATTCTTAGGAGAAGCAAACAGGATCATTTAAATCAAGATGATTATAGATTAGGTTTGACAATAAATATTATAATGTTATCTTTTGAAAATAATTTAAACACAAGGAGCCACGGTCCTTGGCCATAGGTGGGTCCTGGCCTAACCATGTCCGACATAGTGGAAATGGAAAAAGCCCACACCCTGCAGTCCCTTCACTGTGATCCTGAGCTAGTCATGTGGCTTGTCCAAACCTCAGTAGCCCTATCTGTCATATGATGCCTCTTCTGGTGGTGTTCTACTGATTACAGATGTTGCTCTCCCTTGTTGAAATCTGAGCACTGAGTTACAATCACAAACAGCTGAGGGTGGTGAGCGTAGCTTCCAAGTTCTCTCCAGAGCACTCACTCTCTCAGTTACCAACAGAGTCTATAGCTCCCCCTGAAAACTGGAACAACACAAGGATGCCCATTCTCACCACTCCTGTTCAACATAGTTTTGGAAGTCCTAGCTAGAGCAATCGCACAAGAGAAGGAGATCAGGGGTATCCAAATAGGAAAAGAGGAAGTCAAGTTATCTCTCTTTGCAGACGACATGATTCTATACCTCAAAAACCCAAGAGAATCTGTCAAAAATCTCCTTGCACTGATAAATGACTTTGGAAAAGTTTCAGGGTA